AGCGCGACAGCACGGAAATCCCTACAATCAGGTATCGCCCCGAAGCACCTGAATAAATCTCTGGGAGAGAGGTAGTGGCGGTGCAACGGTGAGGCTGGTCTGAAACTTATGGCCTGTGAGGTAAACAGCAGTTAATAGGACTCCAAGGGTTTTTTTCCACTGCGCCGAGGCCAACTTAATTTGCGAGGCGTCCGAAGGGTTAACACGCTTCGCCCGGGAAAATAGAAGGCTTCCGTTGGACGGATCGGTGTTCCAGGAGAGGATGTTGGTTACAGGGTGTCATGGCAATCATGGTTCTACCAAGAACAATCAACAAAAAAATAATAACAAGTCGAGAATGCAGAATGAAACGACCACAACTCCAGGAAGGCATTTTGGACCCAGCAAGGGAAATCCTATAAATTCTGAACAAAGTTTCTCGATTAGATTCTCTTGGGATGTGGAGGAGGACATATTGGATAACCTCAGAAATTGTTTATGATGCTACCAATAACAATCTACAGAAAAAATAATAACAAATCAAGAATGTAGAATAAAACAACCACAACCGGTCTAGGAGGCCACTTTGGACCTAACAAGGGGAATTCTATAAATTGTATACTAAGTTTTCCAATCATCTTCTCTTGAGATGTGGATGAGGACACCTCGGACAACCTCAGAAATGAACAAGCAACTTTCTCCTGTTTTCGAGAAGTAACTTTCGAGACACGACTCTTTCAAAGTTCCTCAACCATGTAACCCCTTTTTCAGATCTTCAGTGGTAAGGAAAATTGTTTAGACGTTCATATTTAGTGGGACAGGTACAGGGTGGTTCGTTTATCTTGACCATGTAGGGTAAATTCAGGACAGATATTGTAATATCTTCCGATTGAAAAAGATAGTTACATATGTTGTATGTTTCTATAACCTCACTTATGTGCCTTCGACAACAAGTTAGTGTCAATGTACTCGGCTGTCGCTACACGTGTCGTATCCAGGAAGCATTAAAGGAAAAAAGACAATTGACTGGATCAAATGCTGCTCATGCCGAAAATGGTTCCATGAGTTTTGCACAATGTGTCTTACAATGCAACAATTATGGCAAAGAAAATCTAAGAAAGTGAAATTAATACATGTATCTTCATGGGTGTGGCATCTCTCTTACAAGATTTGTAAGAGAAGTCACTTTGCCAACTTGTCATTTTTTTAAATACTTGTGGATTTTCCATGAAAAAAGTCTAGAATTGTTTGTATTTTTTCATAGTATATGAGTGTAATATTGTAGTAAAAAAAATATCGTATTAATTAGTAGAAAACCAAAAAAGTTATTGGCTCTCAACCAAAAAGGGTGGCATCTCTCCTGAATTTACCCTACAACAGAGTTGGGCACAATTTCATTGGAATAATACACAATGACAAGCAGCAGTATCTACAATCGTAATCCTGCTCTTTAAACAATTAACGTGATTAAATAATGGTTTGCCAAGTGTTGATTCATTCAAGAAGTAGTATCATTTTATCATAAAAATTGGAATATCCATGTTTTAATGAACTAAACATGGCGAAATACCTTTTTTTTTTATCTTTTATTCGTTATTTAAAACTGTTTACCTACACAATAAATTCTCTCCCCTACAGTGTTTCAGAAATCAGAGATGGGAAAATTGATCACCTAGATGAAGACTTTCGAATAACCTGTTCGACCACAAGTGTGTCAGGTGTCTAAACGATAATAAAAAAGAAGTTAACTATCTACCATCCCCCGTATCAAGGTTCTGGTACGATTACCGGGACACCCTGTATGCGTACGACGCGGTAGCGGCGAAGCCTATCGATTTGCTCTCACGCCAGCGAGATGGACGAACGAGACCAGAGCGAAATAGAAGCAACTTCCGCATTCTCCCGTGAATGCGGCTTTACCAGTCCCTCCGAAAACCGCGCGCAAACACCGGAGAAGGCCCCTTATCGACAGAGTGAAGAAACGAGAGCGCAAAGGGACAAAAATGATAACTTTTGTCGCGACCCGCGAGTAGACGCTTTTATTTGCTTGGTCGGCGCCTTGACGGAAATCTTTACGTTCACTTGACCATGGAGAATGAAACTGTGATTTTTTCTTCTTAACCGATTAACCTTTACAAGACTGGCTGGTTTTTCATGACTTTTTTTTATATTATCGAGCTAGAACTTTTATACAGGGTGAACCGAATCGTGATCAGTAGAGATTACTCTGTTATTGGCAGTCCGATCGAAAATGTATTTATCAGGTATAGCATGGTTTCAAGAGAGCTTTAATGTGATTATAGCAAATTTTTTGCCAATTTTTTTTTCATGATTTTTCAAGGTCACCTTCAATTTTTTGCAAATACACCTATAATTTTTTTACGCCTATCTGTTAGAGGATTTCAAGACGAATTCGGTAAGTGTTATAACATAACTTTTACCTTAATTTAAGCGATGTTCAAAATGGGGTCCGTCAGCTGCAATGCAGTCGCATAGGCGGCGAATAAAAGAGTGTTTAGCACTTTCTATGACTTCTGCACTGATAGCTGAGCATGCATCCACTATTCTTTGTGGAAAAAACATTTTCGATCGGACTGCTAATAACAGAGTAATCTTTACTGATCACGATTCGTGGTTCACCATGTATATGTTTTATGGTGTTACATCGCGCAAAAAGAAGCATCGCCTCTGGAGCCTAAAAATAGGCCTTTAAAGGTTAATATCGACCGGGATGAAAAACAGGCTTAGAAATAAAATTTCAATCACAAACCTAACCCAGACCTAACGCGATAGACCTTTTAATAAAAAAACAAATCTTTAACAGAATGTCAGTTTCGTAAATTGACCTATAAAAATCTGAATTTGGATAAAGATCCAGTCTAGTTATTATTAGTAGCCTAATAAAGTCTTTAAGAGAAGAAAGGAATCCCTAATTTTATACTTGAATTTATAAATTACTTTGAGATATGTCATGTGTCATGAAGATTCACAGTTTAGTAATACAATCTGGGGTGTAAGATAGGATTTAGCATCTATTCCAGGAATGAATTAAATTTTACTCCAACTATAAAATGATCTAGTGGTCTGAGGCGTGTTGTATCTTTAGAAAGCTCTAATGTGCAATAAAGGTTTGTAAATAGAACCGAATCACTTCTAATGACGTAATTTATTCAATTGGTAATCACCATTAATATCCGTAGTATTTCAATCCTACATATATTATTATAGTTCCAATAAGAACAATCTCTGTCATTCTATAAAAAAACAGGTGCAGAAATTATACACACATTACGTACATATCGATTTTGATCCTCGAGTTGTCAAGAGCTCGATAGAACTTGACAGTTCGTGACAGATGATTGAAGCTGACAGTGTTTTACATCAGACGAGATGAAACGTTCACTTTTAGACGATTGAAACCTAGAGATTTTGCCGACTGCAACTCTCTTATCGTCTATCAAAGGAAATTTTTCACGCGGGAAGGTGAAGACGCGAGCGTTATACGTGAAAATCATTAACCCCGGTAAAAAGAGAAAGTAAACGGAATCAGAGAAAGCTGAACGAAGAGGTAATTCCGAAGAAGATTTAAGAGAGGAAAGAGGCGTGATGTACGCTGCGGTTACCGACCTACGTCAAGCAAAGGTCATACCAGGTATTACCAGAAACGCGGCTGATATCCTCGGTGTGCAAAACAAAGGCGAAAAGTAGACCAAGGTGAATAAAAGGTGCAAACAACTTGTGCTGTACTACGTACAACGACTGTTTACTTTTTACGAATAACAATTTGGGGCCCGTTCAAATAAATATATACAGGGTGTTCCAAAATAGCTTCGACACCCGGAACTTCAGGGTTCCTGGGATGATTTGAAACAACTTTTTCCTTAACAAAAATGTTATTCGAGGCTTTGCTAACGAGATATTAACGAAAAACCCCGACCAATCAGAGCGTGAGTCTGTCGGCCGAGCATCCGCGGTAGCGTTGGCTATGTGCTGCGATTGGTAGACAACGCTACCGCGGGAGCTCGACCAGCAGACTCGCGCTCTGATTGGACGGTGTCTTAGGTCTAAATTGGTCCTGGGTTTTTCCATTTCGAATTTCTAAGTTAAAGTGGGTCCAACTTAGACCCCTTCGTCCTAAATTAGTCCCTTCCATGATTTTTTCAACCAAAGTTCTTTTGATTAGTATAACTTCGTCTCCAGTTATTCCGAGATTGCCAGAACTCTTGCCAGGAGCTCTCCATTAATATTATTGGAATCTCTCAACCCGATTTTAGTCCAATTTCTGTCTAACAACTTCAGATCGCTCCAGTTCTATTCTCTTGGTTCTCGCTTAATCCGAATCGTGTCTCTTCTCCCTAAATTGATGCTATTCGCGTCTACCCACGCCAGATTGGTCTGGCTTTGATCTCCCGGCTCTTGGGTAATACAATTTCCGTCACTCATTCTTCGGTTGTACCAATTCGATCATTTCGAGTCTTAGTTAATGTAACTGACACTGTATCACTTGCTTAATTAGACTTTATACTATTACATACATATTCACAAAACAAATCGATTTACTTTTTTATATGTGTCATTTTTCATAAGAAAATCAAACAATAAAACATGTACATTCTAAATTATGAATTTTTACACATATTTCTAATATTCACGAATTAATTAAAATACAATGATTTGAAAGCTTTCTTTCAAGATTTAACCCTTTATCTTCCTTCACACTCTTTAGTCTACTAAGAAAATTAAATTAGAGGACGGAAATAATAAAATTAAGTACCAATATGGCGGATTGAGATAGCTAAAATAAAATAATATGGTGGACTGAAATAACAAAATTAAGTAATATGGCGGGTTGAAATGATCAAAATGAAATAATATGGCGGATTGAAATAACAAAATTAAGTCATATAGCGGACTGAAATAACACAATTAAGTAATATGGCGGACTGGAATTACTAAAATGAAATAATATGGCGAATTGAAATAACAAAATGAAATAATACGACGGTAACCGTTTCACTCACCTTTGCAGCTTGCGGCTCGATGTCGGTGAGCCGTTGCGCTCGAGGCCTCTCTTGAGCCGATCCTGGCATCCTTTGCAGCCTCTCCGTGGACGAGGACGAGGAGGATGAGGATCCAGGCCTCTGGCCTGGTTTGCCACGCGCCAGGATGACGGCAGGATTTTACTTTCCTCTCAATTGAACCATTATTCCTCTTTCGCGTTCTTCTGCGCAAACAATTTGTTACGGTGCTCAGACGTCTTTATCGCCGCTTTCATAACGTCGGAATATTAACCTCGCGATACAGGCACCCGTAAACGTATCGGTGAAGCAGCCGTACGATCGTAAATATCGCGCGGAATTACCTATATTTGCCGTGAGCGCTGATTAAAACGTGGATGAGCTTCTTTTAAAACCTTCGATCCGAACCCCCCACCTTTCCACCCTAGTAATTGAATTCAACGGATATTATTAACTTCGCCAGTTGGTATTTACGTCTCTGACAAACGCGACGTGTAATTACGCGCGAAGAAATTTATTCCTCGAGATTTTACGACAGTATCGAATTTATTTCACGTTCTTATCAGATAAACGAGTGATCAAGCATTGAACGTTCTCCGTTCGTCTTTACCGTTTTATTTCTCTCTGTGTGTTTCGAACTACAACTGGTCTTTATCAGATCAACCAGATGTTCTGATGAAATATTCCGATAAAACTCATTAGTATTCCTTCTGTTACGTGTGTCAATAAGCATCCGCTATATTTTGTCTAATTCAATGCTTATTTTCGAGCAAATCAAAAGTCTATGTCATTTTGATAATATCTGCCTTCGTTCTTCGATAATCGCCGCCATTTTGAAAGAATAAAGGGGTAAAAAAATCGTTTAAATTATATTACTAGTTTATTAAATAGGAATAGTGGAATTTTTATCGTGGCATCTAATAAATGTCATGACTAAAAATTAACTTATCGTTTCCATTGCATGGCAAATAATTTCAGGTGAATATTTCTATCGAAATTCTGTTCAAGCCTCCGATCAAATTCTTTTAATCCGTTCCAATGGATCGTACATAAGGTTCTGCTAAACAAGCGTCGCAATCACCAGAAGAAATTTATTTTTCTAACATTTTATGAAGCCATAATTTTATTTCTATTTCTTCTTTGACCACACGCATGCTCTAACCATCGTTAACCACTCACGTTTTATTTATTAATCTGTTCTACGCGAGATATTACTTCGGTTAGAACCGATCTGGAACGGCTAAATGGCTGCGCAAACAAGTTGGTGGTGTTCATCGATTTCCACCGCGACACAAAAGTGGGAATATCTTGAAACACCCGAAAAGACCCCAACTACAAACGCAGTGTGTTCACATGTTATAAACCGGGCCAGCTAGCGAATAATTCGATTCTGAATGCAAAGTGCTTTTAAAATTGAATTCTAGCCCCGGCATTAACCGACGAACGAGACTTTCGTGGGATCCTAATAATACACGGCGCTTATTTTTGTCGCATTGGCCAGCAGCATCCGCGATTGTTCGCTCAATTTTACATAACATTATGAATACTTTTTCTGAGGAGGGTCGCATCCCCTCCTTCAACCCTTACGGGACGACAACATTTTTATGCGTCGGGGCTACTTTTACATATGAATCGAGATCGTGCACTAGAGAGTAGAATGAATATTAGGGATGAAACGAAATACGTTTTACGTATTACGACAACTGAGTTTACGTCCTTATAGGGTAAACGCACGAATGAGTGAACACTTAAGAGATTTTGTAACTGTTACGGTCGAATTTTAAATATTAATAATATTGATAGTATGTACTATATGTAACTGTCGATACTACATAATATGTACTGTCAATTGTTTTCACAAACATTTTTCAAAGAATACAACAGTTTGTATTCTCTTTCTGGAATATTTTTCTCACATTGTTCTCGATACACGTTCGCCTTGTTCCATTCAAATCAGGATCGCAAGAGCCCCAGTTTCTGGCGTTCGGTTCGATACCGTGATAAAAGAAACCGCCCTTGGCCGAAAACGTACACAGTGTTCCCATACCAAGCGTCGAGATCCCCGATTCGTGGCCACTATGGGAGCCACTTCTATACCCGTTTTAATTTTACTTTTAAATCATTCCCAATCTACATGCATTCCTCTTAAATATGAAGCCTTCTGCACTTGAAGAGACTAATCAAAATTCGAACAAAACGATTTACATTTATCTTTTTAACAATTAGTCCGCCTATGATAAATTTTAAAACATGTGGCCTTAAACTGCACTTCTAAAAATAGTACTCGATCTCATTTATTATGAGAAAATTCGAAATCACACTAGAAGCAGAGAAATTAGGTTTACGGGAAAAAGAAGCTTCTACGAGCTTTAGAGAAAACTGAACTCAGGGATTAACGTACTTCCATATGAATAAATGTTAAAAATAAATTTAACAAATTATTCTGTTCAAGCACGACGTAATTTCCACTGCTACAGAATTATAATGACATAAAAATACAAGATATTATCAAACCGACATAAAAACCTTTGGGTACATAGAGAAGAAACCTGAGAATTGTCGGAATATACAGTAAAATGCAAATGACGAGTTAACTCGTCTTCCCCGGTTGAACTGGATTCAACGAATATACAGGGTGTCCCACGATAACTGCCGTTTAATATACCTACTGAACGGTACGTGATAGGACAAAAATGTAAGAAGACTTTTATCAACATTTTTTATGTAGAATGTCAATATAAAAAAATTTGTTACCCTCAATTTCTCGAAGTGATACCAAGGTCATCTCGTCTTTTTTAAATGGAATGCTATGTTTTTGTTTTGATATCATGAAAGTGCAGAAAAAGAAACAAAATCAGCGTACGTCCTTGAAATGACCTTGAGGCAATCCAAAGTCGCAAGAACTAACAACACGAGATGACTTTGGTCTAACCTTGAAAAAGTAAAGGTAAAACAATTTGTTCACAAAGACATTCTACATAAAAAATGATGATAAAAGTCTCCTTACATTTTTGTCTTATCACCTACCGTTCAGTAGTTACATCAAACAGCATTTATTCTGGGACACCCTGTATATCATTCGTAACGATCACATGGCTAGACGCGTTTACATGTCCGCAGTACTGACAGGATTAATAAAATTAAATTACCATCCGACGTATCCTCGAAACGATCGAAATTTCTGCTGCAACTGTTGATATATTAATAACGTTTCCGATTGCGAGGGAAAGAATCGAGACACGTCGGTGGTCAAGGTGTTCGGAGCCCCGGCGAACGGGCAAAGAAAAGTGAAAATACCGGCGGTAATTAATTTCTACGGGGGCCCCGTGGCTCGATCTTATCCGCGAATCGAGAACACGTAGCGGATGAAAGTTTCACGAGCAACGCTAAACGTTTACTCGCGTACGTCGCGTCGCCGAAGCCAGCCGTTGCGCCGCGGTCAGGTGAATTTACTGTTTTAAATCGGACGGCCTTGCCGCGGCCTACGAGCCACACGGCCAGACATAACGATTCTCTTGAACTTTAATTGTAGAAAAGCGTCGTCGTCGTCGTCTGTGTGTCTTATGCATTCGATCGTAATCATCGACAAAGAATGGAAACACCTCCGATCGGAACATCGAGACAACCATTAACTTGCACATTTTTCGATCGAAAGCATTCCATAACTGGGTAATGGTACATGATAAAGGACGAGTTTACTCGTCTTGTCTGTGGTAGATATGAATAATGTTTTAATGTTATTTCTGGTAGAAATGGTATGATAAAACTAATGATAGACAGTTCGAGGGCGTGACTGTAACTTCTAACTGAATGAAACGAATATGATTCTGTTTACTAGAAAGTAATTGGTAATAATCTCTATCGGTAAAAACGTCCACGTTCATAAACCAACCGAGATTGTGGATTAAATATCACAATACAACAAATAAACAAGAACTTCCTCGGCGATGACTCTATTAGGTTCAAAGTAATTTAATAACTACATATTAAAGCCTCTTAAAGCCTTCACCACGTTGCGTTTTATACATATATTCGAACGTGCATGAAACGCACATAATTCAGAATCTAATAATAACACATAGAAAGTACCATTACACTTAATTACACGTTGCGTAATATACTACTTCGTAGTAATCTAAAATAATTATTTCAATCACGAAGGATGACACGCGGAGTGTCATAAGGAAATGCGTTAATAAAAGAAAGAAATTATATTTAAGGCCGCCGAAACGTGGTGCAGGCCACGAAACCATAAAACCAAAAAACGATCATGCTCGATGCACTGTAGAAGCGAGACGTGTATTGTACATATACTTACGAGCGATACATTCACACCACCGACACGTAATTCCGCTATCCACAGGTAGTGGTATACAAAGTAACGCTAATTTATATGGTTACGAACTTTCCAAAGCAATTAAGCTAGCGACATGAAAGTAAAACGCGATGTGTATAATAAAAAAATAGGTGAAAAATATTCGGTTCACAATTATCACCTCCCAATACCTTCGGAGTTTCTCGTGTACAAAGGGTGTCCAATTAATTTTCAGAATGTAAAAACAAAGGCTTAGTTTAAATGAAAAGACTCGAGATCGTTTTTGGTCGGTGTATTTGGTAACAATACTATCTGTATCAAAATTCTTATTCCTCCGACTCACAGAGAGGTGCTTTCAAATACATTCTGTGATTTCCGCGTAACGATACCTAACACCAAGCCTAATTGCTCTTGACCATTTGATAACACTGTGCGGCGAATATCATCCATACTGAGAAGATTCAATGTTTATAAAATACCGTCGATAACTTTTTAGGTACTATCAAGTTCATCGTATAACGTTTCGATGACAAAGTAGAGTTCTATCCAGGAGGCATTGAGAAATTACCAGAAAGATGAAATATCGTTACAGAAATTTGTAATCATTGCATTTCTACATTGATGTTAAATTTAACTATTCTTGTTATGGGAATATTAATGAACAAACTTGAATACTTTTGGTGTCGATTTGTGTTTCTAGCGTACATTCAGTATTTCTATATTTCATTTCACTCAATATACATGAAAATTAGGAGGA